AGTCTGCACAGGGAAGTATGTGGGCAGAGGGAGGGTTAGCTGATTTTCTATTTCTTCACTTGTTCTCCTCCTCCCTTCTCTCAGACAACTAGACAACTACAGAGTTCTCATGGGATTACTTTACTAGTATTAATTACTTAACTGAGACTGCTGTTGTGACAGGACTGTTTTGTTATCTGAGCATGATCAGAATAAAATATGGCTCTTGTCCAAGATTTATTTCTTCTCAGGACAGGGAATGAACCATCCCAAACAGGCTATTATAAACAGGCAGTGGAGAAAAACAACAAAATTATTTTTCTGATTATACTTTATGAGTCCTAGTTGTTCAAAATAGTAGTGGGGTAGGGGCCTCTCTGCTTCTCTGGGATCCTTTAAATAATCTGTGTATGGCATTACCAAGTTCACCTAGACATGAAAACAGCCAGCATTTCCAGGGGCAAAACTACTGCTGAAAAATAACAACCTTTGAGATGATCTTTCAAGATGAAGACTTGACAAAGTCTCAGTGTTTACTTGATGATAATGACATTTTTGGCGATGGTGCAAAAAAAGTACAGTTGGTTGGGGAGTGCTATTTAACAGGGTAAAATAAGACTTCCTCAGTTATTTTGTGACTGAGGATTTAAGATAATGAATGCCAACCCCTTCATTACAAAGTGGGGTGCTTGATTACTCATGTGGAACAGGCAAAGCATTTGGGCAGTAGCTGATTTTTAGCCTCCTGGTTTCTCATCCACCTTGAAGCTTTAAAAAAAGGTTGAAATCAAAGAGACCTGGCTGAGAGTATTTGGAATCTGGGGGAATCATTTGGAGATAGTATGCATGCTGAGTCCCATCCCTGTTGTTCCCAAAAGGCAGGGGTAGTAAGTATGTCCCATTCATTTCATCTCATTTCATTTGAGTAAAGCCTCAAGGATACTAGACGGGGAACTTGATCAGTGCTTCCCAGAAGTTGGAGAACTTGGTGGACTGAAGTCTGACTCATTCCTGAAGCAGTCTGTGGCAGTAGAGGGCAAAGTTGATTTGGGAAGTACTTGTATTTCCGGCGATATGGGTCAGAGGAGTATGCTTTCTGGGACCCTATAAGAAACTCAAGAAAGAAATGTCAATTGACAATCATCTAAAACAACTCTCACCAAGAGAGATCCTGCCAGGGGTAAGTCATCCTCAGCAGAAAGAGGCTGGTTACCCTTGAGAGTAGAATTTGAGTGTAAGTCCTAAGTGACCTGCGTCTTTCCTATACCAGCCAACCTGGTTATATGTCTACTGAGTTTTCTTAAGTGAAGCACATATGGGAAGAGTTCATCTTGGAAGATCACAAATGAGGACTAAAAACATTGATACTCAGGGAAACAAAAATAAGAATGATATTATGAAGTGAACTTCCTGCACACACATTAGATATTTTTTTATATTACCATTTGACTCAAGAGAGACTTTATTATGCAAATTAAATGGAAATTTTAGTGATTATCCTGTGAGTTTGTGCTGTGTTAATTTAGCTATCTCACATACCAAATCGCCAATTTCCAGTTTGTGACACACACACATATATATATATAAAGTCCAAAAGACTTTTAAACATATGGAAGTGCTTTTAGAAATTACCAACCCTTATGTCAGGTTATGAACAATTCTAGACCGAAGTGATTTTCCCCATTAAGACGGTATAGGATGAGGTCTGCCTGTGTGCAGCACGAGCCACAAATCAATTGTGGCGGTTTACATGGGGCTTCATTCTTTCATGTAAAATGTCTGGAGGACAGCAGGCCAGGACTGGTATGGCATTTCCACAAATTAGCAGAGACACACTCGTCCGGCTTGTGCTCTGCCGTCCTTTGGGTAGGGCTCAAGACAGATGCTAGAAATCTGTCGTTATGTCTGTATTCCATGCAGCAGCAAGGAAAACACAGAAGAGGGACCATCCCTGGAAGTTGTATAAATTACTTTCACGTATGCCCCACTGTCCAGAACCAGTTACTAGTCATATCTAAGTATACGGGAGACTAGAAGAATGTAGTCTGAAACATCATGGTCCTAGCTAACATTCTGGGGTTCTATTACTGGTGAAGATGGGGAGTCTAATATTGGGGGATAGCATTTGCCTGCCGTGTAGGAAACAGAGGTTAGGGGAGGGCTCTGATGTCTGACAGCTTCTCTTTGATTCTTGGCTCCGCCGCTTATTAGGTTGTAACTTTGGTCAAGAGTCTAAAACGTTCCATGTCTTTATTTCCTCAGGTGTAATGTGAGAATAGTAAAGTTTTCATGAGTATTTAATGTGAAGACATTAAATTTTGAGTGGTGTCTGGCCACATCTGGCTATTTACTGTTCTTACCATTATCCCCATGATTTGTGACTCACTAAGCTACAGGCAGTGTAGCCCCTGAATTTTACTACCCTAGTCCTAGAATTTAGTAGGATGCCTGGCACTTCATAGATATGAATGGTTGAAGGAGTCAGACTGCATGAGTTTTGGATTGTGAAACGTCTACTTTCTCAGTGGTTTACATGGGCATTGCTTAATCCCTTTCCACCTCAGTTTTCCCTTAAAATGAAGAAAAACTATTCCAAGTGTTATTTCTTTCTCCTCCCAGATTCATTCTCCACCCTTCTCAGCTCTGCTCTTTGCCAAGGAGGCTGATCTTCATGGATTGCATCAATGAGCTCCCTTGCCCTCTGGCTCCCTGCTGGGATCCGCCTGTAGAAGGCACGGACAGGTGATCAGAGGAGGGAGAGTTGGCTGGCACATTGGTTCCTATGGCTTCCTCCCTGCAGAGCCATGGTTTGGCAGTGGCTGTGTGCTATAGACTGAGTGTTTGAGTCCCTCCTGATTGAATATCGAAATCCTGACCCCCAGTGTGATGGTATTAGGAAGTGGGTCATTGGGAGCCCTCGTATATGGGATTAGTGCCACGCGAGGACACGGTGAGAAGACGCCTCCCACCAGACACTGAATCTGCCAGCACCTTGACCTTGGACTTCTCAGCTTCCATAGCTGTGAGAAATAAATTTCTGTTGTTTGTAAGCCAGCCAGTCTATGGTATTTATAACAGCCACCTAAATGAACTAAGCCATATGTCTGTTCTGAAAGCCACAACTATCAAGCGGGCCTTTCTTTACAGCTATTGGTCTTCCTGGGTTCTAATGACTGCCCCTACCTCCTGGTTCCCCATATGCTGTCCTCATGGCACTTCGACACTGGATGTTCTGAATGTGGGCCACACTTTTATCAATGTATCCTTCACTACACTCTCCTCAGGTCCCCCATTTTATTGTTCTTTTCATTCTGCGACCATGACTGACACCCAGCACGCATCGGGTTGCTTTGAGTATGTGAAGAAATAATGCACACGGAGTGCCTCGTGTGGTGTCTGACACAGAATCAGTAACTTGAGCTCCACTAATGCTCCTGTCACCGGCTTTCTTTTACTTATCATTTCACGTTTGGAGATGTCTTTGTTTCATAAAATTTTCAAAGGTATCGATTGATTTGTTGAAGTGTTTCATTGTTGAAAATGATCAGAGCATAACTAAGGTAAATTTTGGGGTCAAACTTAAACCTTAAAACAAAATGGTGGCTAGTAATCCCCCACCCCAGATATGTCTTATGTTTTGTACAAGTATAAACTATGAAACCCAATACTGTGTCCTTTACCATTGACTTGTAAAGATGAGGAGTAGTTAGCTGAGGGTAGAGGAATGAGAGCTTGGAAACTGGGTTGGGAGGCTGGTGATTCAGGAGGTTGTGGTCTCAGAGAACAGTGGTGAGAGGAGCCACAGATCTATAGAGCCATGGAGTGGACCAGGGAAGTAGGACCAGAGACTGCAGTTAAATGCTTTGAATTGGGGAGATTCCTAGTTATTACAGAGCCTTATTATACTGACTCAAAGTGGACCAGAGGCATATGGCTATAGCTATGATAGCAGTCGAAGTGTTCAAATTTCTAAACAGTAGTTCTTCTTTAAAAAAAAAAAAAAAAAATTGAATGGGATTAATATGATCTGGGACTTCATTGAGTATGTTGGGGAATCTAGTCTTTAGGATCAGGGAAAGTAATGGGTTCTGGTGGTGGTAAGTTCTGGTTCTCTGCTGTAAACCTCCCCATTTATGATATTCTTGAGGTTTGCATAAAGACATTCAATTCTCACCTTCGGTTTTTGTTCCCAAGATCCTCTAGATGTTACCCATGATGCATCTGCAATTTGTTTGTGTGCATCTTACAATCTGCAGATTTTACTCATAGTAATAATTGCTTGATAATTTCTTGAATTATTATCTGTGAAAGTAGATAATGATGATGATGACAACAATGATGGTGATGATGATGGTGATTATATCTGAAGTCCTGTTCAATTTACGAAGTTATTGCTAAAAACAATTCCATACTTAGGGAAACTAAAATATATTAACCTTGAGAAGGAAAAAGAAAGCAAATATAATTAATACCAATTAATTTAGTTGAATGCAGCACTTTTCATAGAAACAACTAATTTAAATTTTATTTTTCAACAACATATAGTACGAAATTGCCATTTTTACATGTTTATGATGAAATAGTTAAATGCTATGAAATATCACTTATTTTTTAATGCAGTGGAATCAACAATTAAAATCAAAATCTACTTCAACATGCCCTGGTTGTTTTTGCTCAGTGGTTAGAGCACTGGCCCGCAGACCAGAGAGTCTCGAATTTGATTTCAATCAAGGGCACGTACCTCAGTTGCGGTTCATCCCCAGCCCTGGTCGGGGTCATGAGGGAGGCAACCAGTCGATGTGTCCCTCTCATCTGGATGTTTCTCTCTCTCTCTCTCTCTCTCTCTCTCTCTCTCTCTCTCTCTTCCTTTCTCTCCTTCCCACTCTATCTAAAGATCAATAGAAAAATATCCTTAGGTGAGGATTAAAAAAAAAATCTACCTCAACAAAAATATATTTTAATAACTGACTACTTTATATAATTAATATATTTTTCTTATACATGACTTCTATTTTTTCCAGACTTGGATCTCAGAAACACATGAACAAATGGCACAAGTTTTTTCAAACACAGAATTGGCTCAAATAAAAAGCAAGGCTTTATTGAATGAGGAAACCATGAGCTCTGGGATTACTGAAAGGTATTCTTAATCGTTTCCTTTGCTCACAGAACAGGCACATGGAGGAAAGGAGTCACATAAGTACTGAAGAGGTGCAGTGACACCAGCTACCTTCCAGGGACACTTCGCATTGCTCCCACGCTGTCTGCCTGTGCCATTCCTTCTGCTGGGACTTCCCTTCCCTCGGTTTACCTATCAGCACTTCTCATTCTGGGTCCAGCTATAATGCCATTTCCTCTTTACGTGTGTGTGTTTTTTTTGTTTGTTTGTTTGTTTTCCCCTGATCGGGCTTCTGACTAACTAGGTTTGAACCCCAGCTCCACAATTTACTTGTGAAAGTTATCTAGTGTCTGTAAACCTCAGTTGTTCACTATAAAATGGGAATTATAAACGTATCCACTTCATAGAGGTTTTCTGGAGTTTAGATAAAACAAAGTATGAAATGTGAATAGAAATATTCTGTTATTAAACAGAATTAAATGCTCTTATTTCCTTGCCCTCTGAGCATCTTATTTGTGTTCTATAACACAGTTGGACTTACATTCTAGTTATTTTATATGTATATATGTTGCCCTGAGATAGTGAGTTTCTTGAGGGTAGAAACTGTTTTTCAGTCATATTTATAGTCCTGTAGCCTGCACAGTACCTTTCCATGAAAGTCTGTGATATAGACTCTGCCTTATATTGTAATTATTGGAAAATGCCGTCAAAGTAACGACAAAATGCTGAAGATCTCATTTACACATTGGGACATTTTATTTTGCAAAGTGTATAAAAGTTGCAAATGTGAAAATTCTTTAAAAATAATTATCAGAAAAATTTAGCCCTGAATTAGTTTTCTATGGCTTTGATAGTTAATAGATGTCAGTCTGACATGTTTATAAAAATTGTGATCTTGTTTCCAGGGACACTGGATTGCCTGTGACAGGCTTTGGAGCTCTCTTTACTCGACACCCAACAGATCAGCGCAAAATGTAAGTCGTCCTGAAACTGCTGCAGGTTACATAAAATGTTTCCTAGTGATTCAGGAGGTTTGTTTGCAGGGGTGAAGGTGTGAAAGGTGTACCAGAGTCAACGAAATTCTCTTTATGCGGCAGCTTACAGACATCTTTTCTTTATCAAAAGGTTGGTTTTTCATCAATATGCATAACATTAATAAGTAATAGTCGATCCATATTATTCATGGATTTCATATTTGCAAATTCTCTTACTCGAAAAAATGTGTAACCCCCCAAATCAACAGTCGGGGTGCTGTTGCAGTCCTTCACGAACATGTACAGTGTAGTGAAAAGTCTGAGCCACCTGATGTATACATTCCCAGCTTAGGTTAAAAGAGCCAAGGCTCTGCCTTTTTGTTTTAGCTCTAGGACTGTAAGCAAGTGTCCTTTTCAGGGTCTATTAAGTGACTTTTTTTTTTTTTATTGATGAGTTTGCTGTTTGAAATGGCTCCCAAGTACTGTATAGGCTGAGGTGCTATCTAATATTCCTAAGCACAAGAGGCTGTGATGTGGAGAAAATACGTGTGTTAGATTCATCTTCCTTCAGGCATGAGTTATAATGTTGTTGACTGTGAGTCCAATGTTAACAAATCAACAATATATATTAAATAAGATGTCTTTAAACAGAAACACATATAAAACCAGTTATATATGGGTTGGTTGATTAAAATAGTATAACCAGAGTTTCTCAAGAATCTAACCCCATATTTCTCCAAAAAGCAATATTCAGCATTTGCTAATTCCATGTTTGTGGTGACTTTTAGAACATCATTGTGAATAATGAGAATTGACTGTAGAGCAAGAGACTACTGACTCTGCCAATAAAAGAAATATGTTTATTTTGGGGTGGCATGACTTGTTACTACAGAAAAGAGATTCCTTTTCCACTCCTCTTTTTATTTTTATTTTTGTTAATCCTCACCTGAGGATATTTTTCATTGATTTTTAGATAAAATGGAAGGGAGGGAGGGTGAGAGAAACATCAAAGTGAGAGAGACAGACTGATTGGTTGCCTCCTGCACGACCTGGACCAGGGCCGGGGATCAAACCTGCAACCCAGGCACATGCCCTTGACTGGAAATCAAACCTAGGACTCTTCAGTCCATGGGCATCACCCAACCACTGAGCCAAACCAGCCAGGGCTCCACCCATCGTTTTAAAGAATACAGACTTTAATATTTTCTGTAATGATATGGAGATAAATGATGTGGAGACACAAGTACTTACAAACATTACAAAATTCTAGGTGTTGAATTGTGTATTATGAAGATAGGAGTGTGTCGTCATCACCAGCAATTTAAGTGCTTTTGCTTCCTTTGAAAACTGTCTGGTGTTAGCACTAAGCTAATTCGCTGAGTCTGCCTGAGGTGGGAGGGCTGTCTCACCCAATTCCAGTCACCTGTTGTAACTCTGACCAGGTATTCTAACCCTGTGGGTTCTAACTCTGATGTCGCCAGCAAGGCTGGGGCTGGCCTGTGTCCCCACATCTGTAGCACCTCTAACTGGGCTGGAAGGTCCACAAAGAGCATCCCCAGGATGATCCTTGAAGAGAGTGGGCTTCTGGCTCCCACCAAGGCGATGAACTAAAACATCCTGCTGGCTGGCTTTTCTACTTTGAAATCTGGATTTTCAGGAAAGACATGGGAAGGCATGATCAATCCACAGGCAGACTTAGGCAACTGTATCAAAATTCTGAGAAACTCTCAAAAAAAACAAAAAAAGGGCCAGAGCAGAAGAAGGCTGCTAGGGGACAGGAGAAGTGGAAAGAGAGAAGGCAAGAGATGGAGTCTCTAGATGGGGTCTTGGGCTAGTCCAGGATGGGAGCTGTGATCTCGTTGGGCCAGGATTAGATAGGAGCTGAAAAAATCTTGTCTATTGTGTTTGCAAACTTGGATCATATGCTCAAAGCTGGATTTTTGCATGGACTTTGACTGCTGTTTTAGTCTATGGCAGAAAATGAGACAGCCAACTGTCTACATAATAGAGAATCTGATGCCAACAACCTGCCTCCCTAAAGCTCTGATCTCAGCATCGACATCTGTAATGCCAGCCACAGACAGCCGGTAAGACCTGAGTTGTCTCCCCCAAATCCAATTAATGAAAGTAGTTTCAGAAATAGAAATAACTTTCTTTCTAAGAAAAGGAAATGCCAAGGAAAACAAGTGTAGTTAAGCCTGGCAAACTGCAGTAGAGGCACTCAGCTCGTATATCCCACACTCATGCTTGAAGACACCAACTGAGCTTCCTTTTTCAGTGGGCTACCTATGTAGTCATCAAAAGCAGAGGCAACTGATAGTCTTAGGAATAATGCAGATGACCAACTGAAGAAAATCATAACACATGTAAAGAACAAAAGCACCATGAAGAATGAGACATAGGAAACCTATACTAGAAGAAACAGACCCAAAGGAGCAAATAGACCAGGAATTTTAAACCGATGGAACAAAATATTAAAGCTATATTTCGGGAACCAAAGGAAACAGCAGGAAACATAGGCAAAATAATAAAAAATCAAGTTGATATTAATTTTCCAACAGCAACACTGGATGTAAGGGCATAACATTAAAGTATTTTAAGGAAAGAATTTTGGAAAGAAATTTGAGCCCAGAATTATTGAAGGAAAGAATTTTGAGCCCAGAATTATTTAAATGTGAGGGTCAAATTAAAATATCTGCAGGTATAAAAGGGCTGGTTTCAGACTTACTATCCACGAATAACTGCAGAACTGGGCAAATATATTAGGTGTCTGTTGTCAAGTGTTGGACAGCAGCCAGTGATTTTCTGTGCTCCTTGAGATGGGAGATGAGCATCACATGCTCCCCTGACTCACTGAGAGAAGTTTTTCTGGCTGTGGTACAGCAGGTGAGCCCAAGTGAAGAGCGGTGTTCTTGTTGAGCTTGGGAGTGGGAATAGGAATTTAGAGCTTCTAATAGGACTGGAATTTGTAGGACAGGGTATTGGAGAGAAGGAAGTCTGCTTGGGGTTCCCCTCAGGTGATTGATCAGGGGCTGAGCTCTGCAGACACTATGAAAGTACTACATACCCCTGGCTTTAAAAAACCAGCTAGAGCCCTGGCCGGTTTGGCTCAGCGGTTAGAGCGTCGACCTTCGGTCCAGAGAGACCTGGGTTCAGTTCCTGCTAAGGGCATGTACCTCGGTTGCAGTTTGTCCCTGGCCCTGGTTGGTCGTGCGGGTGGCAGCCACTTGATGTGTCCCTTTCACATCGATGTTTCTCTCTCTCTCTTCCTCTCTCTCCCTCCCACTCTATCTGAACAAAAAATGGAAAAATGTCCTCAGGTGAGGATAAAAAAAAAAAAACCAGCTAGAGCTGTTTATAGTGTATTCTGAGATTTCACAATGGTGTTCTCTCCTGTGTTCTGTGCAGTAGGGTCTGGGCATACATCACCTGCCTTCAAATCCTGGGCCTTCCACTTAAGGATCTTGGGCACATTTTGTACCTCCATTTCTTTATCTGTAAAATAAGGGTGATAGTTATAAAAGCACCCATTTTATAGGGCTATTGTCATGATTAAGTAAGTTAATGTGTGTAAAACAATTAAAAGAGCAACTGATGAAGGTATGGTAAGTGCTGTACAAGTCAGCTGGGCCAGATACTTGGTGAACGCTTTCTGTCTAGAAACTCCTATCTATCAGTTCAGGACAATGTTCTTGATTTATTTCATTGAATGAGTTATACCTTCCACTTTCTCTTCTCTGTTTTTGGGAATTCTTTATTTGGATGTTGGACAGCTTGCACTGGTCCTCTAATTACCTTGTCTTTTCTATTTTATTTTTGTCTTGACTATCTACTCCGCGCTTTGTTTCTTCAACCCTACTATTGAGTTCATTTTTTTTCCCCCAAATTCTTATGTTTTTACAGGATCCACTTTTTGGTTTCATGACTGCAGTATCTTCTCTCATCTATCTGGAGATGTTCATGATAGTTTGTTTTTCTTCAATTTTTCTTCCATGCATATAGTCTCTCATTTCCTCCAAGAATGCTCTCTTGTTTCTGTTTGTATTATGTGTCTGTAGTTTATCTTTGATGCTAGGGGCTTCCCTCAGGTGTTCAGGAATCAAGCCTAGGTTTTCTCCTCATGGTTAAGAGATGAGGTTTGGAGCCTGTGAGTGAGGCTTGTTGACTTGGAGCTTCACCAAAGGGATCTAGGTGGTTTCTTCTTCTTCTTCTTCTTCTTCTTCTTCTTCTTCTTCTTCTTCTTCTTCTTCTTCTTCTTCTTCTTCTTCTTCTTCTCCTTCTCCTTCTCCTTCTCCTTCTCCTTCTCCTTCTCCTTCTCCTTCTCCTTCTCCTTCTCCTTCTCCTTCTCCTTCTCCTCCTCCTCCTCCTCCTCCTCCTCCTCCTCCTCCTCCTCCTCCTCCTTTTCTTCTTCTTATTGCAGAAGCTCTTGTGTCAGTATTTTAGTCCTTCTGTGCGGGTTGGTCAGATTCCCCAGAGGAAATGCTCACCCGTCTGAAGGATGAAGGGCTGGTGCCTGTGTTCTTGGAGCCAGAGGAGCGATTGGCTAGAACATCAATATTAATCCTTCATTGTGCATGGTTGCTGAACCGTGTTGTTGATCAAGGACTTTCTCTTTCACCCTTTCCAGTGAATAAGTTTCTAGCTTCCTGCTGGCAATAACCCAACAGTGGAGAGTGCAGCTGAGGCCTTGAGTTCTAACTGTCTCAAACAGCTCTCCCCGGGGCCTCCTTTGCTGATTTAGGATTCAGCTTTCTGCAAAGTCAGAGACCACTTGTCCATCTTTTCTTGAGCTTCCAAAATTTGTTTCTCCTGTCCCCCTTTTTCTGTTTTTCCCTGTTCTTGTGGATTTATTGTTTTTTAAAGTCTTTTGAATGTGGTTTTATTGGAAATTTTTGAAGAAGCAAGATGGGAGGTATACATTCATTCTTAACTCTGAAGTCATCACACCTCATTTGAAATGTTACCTCCTCCAGAGATGCTTTCCTTCCTACTGCTACCCT